TGAAAAAGAGGTTGGGAGTTGGTGCAAAGAAGCTGTAGCATCCACCTGCAGATTTCAGTAGGTGATTTTCAGTTCCTGAAAGCCTCTTCAGTGCTGTACATTTTCTTTACAACGTGAATATTAGTTTTATTTTACTAGTTACTTTAGGCAGTTATACCACATAACCCATCCCGTGACTGTAGTCACTCAAACTTCATGACATTTGTAATGTGTTGGAGATATCACATATATTCTCAGGATGAGGTTTATTGAGTGTATGCACATTGTGTAGGGATGCTAAATGTTGCATCATAATCCAGCGTTTAACATACTAACTAATTGTCAGCATAAAGCATAATACAGTGAGTATTAACAGAACAACAACAGGGTGAAGCATCTTGTTGAAGATTCCCGTGGCAGCTGGTGACCATCCAAAGTGTTCCACCAATGGTGTTTTTCATCTCTACTCTTTCCATCACTCAATGTATTTCTTGTACATCATGATGGACAGTAATCAGAGTCTTTTGTCCATTTTCTTGAACTTATTCCATCAGCAGCTTTCAAGGTTTTCATTAGGATTTCTCTCAAAGTGGCAAATATTTTGTTCAGTGTGTTAGAAATGGCTCAGTATTCAAAATAGGATTAAACAGAAAAATAGGATTTATTAAAAGAATAGAGGTAAGCAAACAGCGCTGGGTGCACCGGGAGTCTCCGCTCCACCAGGACGCACACCAGTTACATCAAGTAGCTGATTTTTATGCTCCTAGACTAATACATATTCATTACTACTTCTAAAAAAAACAGTTTATTATAATTAGCTGCCGGGGTCCAGTCCCTCCTACTGGAGCATGCGCATCAGTCTCCGGTGGTCTCTCTGGGGGTCTCTAGGGGTCTTTCATACTGAAGGCTCGTAGTCTTCCTCTCCAAGTTTTTTTTCTCATCCTTCCCCTTTGTACTCCCTTGGCACCGTATCAAGTTTATAGAACATCCTCTGCAGGTCTTGTCTCCCAGCCATCCTTCAGCTTCTTTTTTTCTTCTTCTTAATCTCTTGGCCACCTGGCCAGATATCAGAGGCCTGCATAGAATCCCATAACAGTCACTAGTTGTTATTAGTTGTTCTGAAACCCCCAGACATCAAAGACTTCATACAAACACAAATAGCATTCTTATTGACACTTCACCAGTAATTAAAACATTCTTCCCAGCCAATCACAGGGACAGTCACACCTATAGCAGTGTTAAGTTAATCTCACATAAGTTAATGTCTCATAAGAAGACAGAAAAAAGGCTGTAACTGTTAGAAATAGAAGTCCGGAACAACTAAAGCAAACAGGTTCATAAATTTAAGGAGTATTTTCTAAAGACTTGATAAATTGACTAGAATGAGGGGGAGACTGGGACACACTGCATCTGTGGTTCAAGAATTAAATAGCCAGTGCAGGACCCAGAGTCACACAGGACTGTTCTTTATGGACACGTTAATGTTAAAACATTCCTAACACTCTCCAAGCCTTGAGCAGCCAGTTTCTCCAGGACAATGCTGTGGGAAACAGTTTCAAAAGCCTTACTGAGGTCTAGGTAGACCACATCCACAGCCTTTCCCTTGTTCACTGAGCACATCGCCTTGTTTCAGAAGGAGATCAGATTTGCCAAGCAGGACCTGGCTTTGACAAACCCATGTTGACAGGGCCTGATCACCTGGTGGTCCTGTAAGTGTTATGTGATGGTACTCAAGATAATCTGCTCCATGAGTTTCCCCAGCTCAGAGGTCAGACTGACAGGCCTGTAGTTCCCCGGATCCTCCTTGCGGCCCTTCTTGTAAATGGTCGTCATATTTGCTAGGTTCCAGTCGACTGAGACCTCCCCTGACAGCCAGGACTGCTGATAAATGATGGAAAGCAAATTGGCAAGCACTTCAGCCAGCTCCCTCAGTACTAATGGGTGGAGCTCAAATTGTTGCCTAGACTTGAGTACATCGAAAAAGAATAGCAGTTCTCTAACCATTTCCTCATAGATTATGAGGGCTTCATTCTACCAGCTCAGGGGCTGAGTACTAGGGGAACAACTGGTCTTGCTGTAAAACAATGAGGTAAAGAATGCACTAAATACCTCAGCCTTTTCATCATCTCTTTTAATTCTGTTTTCCCACATCCAATAAAGGATGATGATTCTCCTTAATTCTCTCTCTCTCTCTTTTTTTTTTTCTTACGCATTTATAAAAATAAAAATAAACAAAGAAGGAAAGAAAGACAGAAAAAAACAAAACAAACAAACAAACATCTTTTATTGTTCTTTAACAGTAAAAGACATATTGAGCTCCAGTTGGGCTTTGGCCCTTCTAATTTTTTTCTTTGCACAGCCTAACAACATTTAGGACTCAGCTTCAGAGAAAATGACAGCATACATGAGAAGCGCAGAAAAAGTGGAATTGGGCAGCCTTCCATCTCCACCCTTCTGTGAGCCTGTTCTGCAGCTCCATTCAAATAGTTCCTCCTGTATTGTCCAAACTCTCCTGCAACTCCTCATCCTGCTATCTTGTGAGAACACAGTTAGAATGAGACATCTCCCTGCAGACATTAAAAGCTGACAGAACGGGTCATCTGTCCAGGGGAACCTTGACAAACTGCAGAATTTTCCCTAGAGAAACTTCTTGACGTTTACAAGGAGAAGAGCCCAGTCCTGCAACGGAGGAAGAGTAACCCCACACATCAGGGCAGACTGGGACCCTGCTGAGTGAGCAGTGTCCAGGAGGAGGAGGGCCTGGGCACCACGAGGGATGCCATACGAGCAGTGGTACTTGCTCACCAGGAACAAGGCCAGCTTCCTACAGAGCTGCCTTATGAGGAGCATGACCACTGAGAAAATCTGAGTTATCAGACTCACCTCCAATATGGTGTGACACCACCTGCACATGGGTGTCCCAGTGTGCAGCTCCTCATTTTCAAGGGCATGGGATAGTGCCCAGAGAGGTTGTGCCAAGGAGGGATTCAGGGCCTAAACCACCTGCCCTGTGTAGAGAGGTTGAGACACCTGGGTTTCTCTGGCCCAGTGGCATGGAGCATCTAAGCAGACCAAAAGTAGCCTGAGACTGCCTGAAGGGTGGTTTTGGAGATGATGTAGCTTTCCTCTGTAGGGGAAAACAGTGTGAGACAGAAATAATGCCACAAAGTTGACTTCAAGATGTTGAGACTGGACAAGAAGAGAAAGAAATCCCCATCTCTGGCTACCGAAGGAAGAGCCCTGAGCAATGTGTGAAAGGAAAGGATCTCCCTTCCCAGGGGCTTGGGATCAAGGCCTGGCCCTAGTGCTTAGTGAAACACATCCAGTTTTCCTACACATCAGTGTCACCATCACATTGCCTTTGTTTCCTTGTCCTCACTGCCTCCAGGGTTCTGCTCTAATGAGCTCCAAGGGAGACTGTGTCAGTGTTGGCCCTCATGGGGACACTGCAGGAAACTTGTATCTGATTTGGACTTCTTGAGAGATTTCTTCCATTTGCTCTCAGTGCCTGAGATCTGTGGGATCATCACCAAAGTCCCCAGAGGGCTGATAACACTGCCTTGGGCTGGGCCTCTGCTGCTGAGCTGGGCCAGGCTCCTGGGACAGAGAGAGCTCCTGGCAAGAGGGCCCTGGTGCAGAGACAGCTCTGCCCAGAAGAAGCTCCTCTGCACAGCGCAGCAGGGCTGGGGGCACTGCCTGAAGGCACCCAGGCAGAAAGGGATTCCAGGCAGACTGGAGGGTGTGAGCAGAGGAGAGCTCGGTGCAGGAGAAACCTTCACAGCTCTGTCCAAGGTAAGTCTCTGGCTGCAGGACAGTGCAGGGGAGGTTCCTGGAAGGGGCTCCTGGATCCAGGACATCTCTGCCTGGCCAGGAGCTGCCAGGATGTCTCTTGTGGCTTGTGCGGTGTGGAGAAGAAGGTGCTGCAGGGCAGCTGCAGGGATGCCCAGGGCTGTGCTGCAGAACGGGGTCCCTGCTGTGTCCCAAAGGCTGTGTGCTGGGGCAGGGCCTCTGCTGCCTGCCAGGGCTTGGGCAGGGGAAGGGCAGGGCAGGGGATGCCTGCAAAGAGAAGGCACTTTCTGCAGTCTCCGCTCTGATTTTTGAGCAGGCTCCATGTTAACAATGTGGTTGGATTTGCACAGGTGACTGAGCATCCTATTGCCTTGAACATTGAGACATAAACAGGTTAGTGACGAACCTGAGAATATCCCTTCCCTTCTCTCTGCTGATAGACTGCACCAGAGCTTTTCTGAGCTGTTCTTTTAGGACCTGCAGACAGGGAGATGTCCCCAGAGCTGTCTCCATCCCCGGCAGGTGTCTGCAGGGCAGAGCTGGGCACCCAGCGGGTGGGATGGGGTCTGTGAGCATGAATGGGAGGAGACGTGGGGACAGAGAAAGAGGGGCTGGCAGGGACAGCTGCAGGCAGCAGGGACATGGGCAGGCAGTGAGAGGGAGCTGCTGCAGAGCATACTGTAGAGTCTTTGTTATACCTGAGACCCTTGGTCTGCCCTTGTGAATCAGCACCCTTGCCACGTACTTGTCATTGAATTCTGCACAGCTGTGCTAAAAGGGAGGCATTTCCATCTCCGCTTGGAGCTGGTACCCTCTCCTCCCAGCACAGCCCAGGTGATTTTTCAGCACAACCTCTGAGTGCAGCCATCCCTCAGCTGAAAGTACTGCAAGCACCCAGCCTTTGGGCACGAGGGGATGGACAGAGCAGCCCTCCTGGATGTGACCTCTGGCTGAGGTTTTCCCCCACAGCAATGACATTTACCACTGCAGTGGAGCAGAAGTGGCCCACTGGGGGCTGATGGGCAGAGGTGGCTGCTGTGTACAGGACACTCAGCCAGCACAAAGCAGGGCTCCAGACAGGGAGATAGACAAAGATCCTCGTCGGAAAAGAGAATGTAAGGCTTTAATTGGGAATTAACTGAATTTTGCTCAGAGACCTTACTCTTAACACTCTCTTTCTTTATATATATTTTTGTTTCTCATTTCACAGTCTACTTGACCAAAGGCAGCAAATGCCCAACAGCAGCTCCATCACTGAGTTCCTCCTCCTGGCATTCTCAGACACACGCGAGCTGCAGCTCCTGCACTTTGCGCTCTTCCTGGGCATCTACCTGGCTGCCCTCCTGGGCAACGGCCTCATTCTCACCACCATAGCCTGCGACCACCGCCTCCACACCCCCTTGTACTTCTTCCTCCTCAACCTCGCCCTCCTCGACCTGGGTTGCATCTCCACCACTGTCCCCAAAGCCATGGCCAATTCCCTCTGGGACACCAGGGCTATCTCCTATCAAGGATGTGCTGCCCAACTCTTTTTCGTTGCTTTCTTGGTTGGAGCAGAGTATTCCCTTCTCACCGTCATGGCCTATGACCGCTATGTTGCTATCTGCAAACCCCTGCACTATGGGACCCTCCTGGGCAGCAGAGCTTGTGCCCAGATGGCAGCAGCTGCCTGGGGCAGTGGCTTTCTCAATGCTATCCTGCACACAGCCAGTACATTTTCCCTGCCCCTCTGCCAAGGCAATGCCATGGACCAGTTCTTCTGTGAAATCCCCCAGATCCTCAAGCTCTCCTGCTCAGATGCCTACCTCAGGGAAGTTGTGGCACTTGTGTGTAGTGTTTCTTTAGCCTTCGGTTGTTTTGTTTTCATTGTTTTCTCCTATATTCAGATCTTCAGGACCGTGTTCAGGATCCCCTCTGAGTTGGGCCAGCACAAAGCCTTTTCCACATGCCTCCCTCACCTGGCTGTGGTCTTCCTGTTTATCAGCACTGGCATATTTGCCTACCTGAAGCCCCCTTCCATCTCCTCCCCATCAATGGATCTTATTGTGGCAGTTCTCTACTCAGTTGTTCCTTCATCACTGAACCCCCTTATCTACAGCATGAGGAATCAAGAGCTCAAGGATGCAGTGAGGAAACTCTATGGATACATGCTTCTTCGGAATCAATAATGACTTTAAGTTCCCTGATAATTTCAGACACCGTAAATTTTTTGTTATTATATTTCTCTATAAATATTTTCTCCAAGTTGTTTTGATTTAAATAATGTTATCCTTAACCTGTAACGTGATATTTTTTTGATTTACAATGACCAGTCATCAAATCTACCTAAAGAAGCGGGCTTACCATGTACATAAAGACAATAAAGACGCCATCAGGACTACATCGGTCTCAGCTGCTCTCCCATCTCCTCTGCAGCTGGAGGTGCAGCCCCAGCAAGCAGGAAGGGCTCAGGGCCCCTGCTGCTTCCCTGGAGCCATGGCCATGGCCAGCAGCAGGACGTGGCCTTTTCACTGTTGCTCTCTTTTGGCTCTCCTGTGCTCTTGTATCTGTGTTAGTCTTGAGGTCTCATATGCCTTGGTGACAGTCCTGTTGTCTCTACAATGACATCCCTGTGGCTGCAGGCAGCAGCAGGCAATGTGCAGCCCTGTGTCATAGCTGGCCTACCCGCTAGCACAACAGTAACAAAAGGGGCTGCTCAGGGCAAACCCAGAACCCTGGACACCTCTTCCAAATGTTGTATCAGGAATAGAGCCAAGGGGTTGTTCCCTGCTCTTTTGTATTCTGGGGTTCATCACGGAGTGAAGGACACAGGCTGAAAGTCCCAGGGTGGTCCCTAAGGAACCAAGCACTGGGCCAAGAACTCCTTTTGTGGCAGCACATGCCCAAATAGACAACACTGTCCCTTGAAGTGGGGCAGATGGCCAGTGCTAGGCTGGAGAGGAATATGGAGCTGCCAGGAAATGTCAGGGGATCTGCAGGGACAATGTGCTCAGTGGGAAGTGATTAGAACATCATAAAATGAGTGATCATCCAAGCAAAGGTCTGGTAAAGGAAAAGGCAAATCTGAGGAGTCCATGGGCTAACGGAGGGCTCTGCAATGCCAGAAGAGGTGGTGAAGAGCCAGCAGGCAAAGGCCCATAAGACTGCAGAGTAATTAAGGATAACCATTTTGAAGCTCCATGGGTGAAGTCTGGTGCAGCACTCACCTGCCCTTTGTGCCCTTAGAGACACCCCATGGCCCTGCCCAGCACTGCCCTGTGCTGCTGAGCCATCAGGGCAGATGGAAAGGGGCTCAGCAGCAGAGATCCCCACAGAGTTGAGTCTGCTCCCCACCCTGAGCAGCACAGGCAGAGGGGAGTCCTCTGGGGGTCCCAGGGCACCATATCCCTCTGGCTCTGCACAGCAGCACTGCCAGCATGGGGCCCTGAGGGGAATAAGGGGAAGGAAGAAACAACGGCCAGCACAGACACAGTACCCTGGGAAAGGCTCTCTGGGAGCAGGGATGGCCCCGGGGAAGAGCAGGGCAGCATTTCTGGGCCTGCACTGACGAGTAAAGGAGAAAGGACAAGCTCTTTGTGCAGGCATCTGCTCGGGGCAGGCTGCTCTGTGCCTGGGCCAGGTCTTTTGTGCTGGCCTGGGGAGCGGGGCTGGCCCTGCGGGACACAGGCACTCTGTGCTGGGGATCTCCCAGGCAAGAGAGCAGGGCTCCTGCAGCATCATGGACCTCCATTTCCTGGCACCATGGACACCTCCTTGCTCAACATATCCAACAGATAAACACGTATTGGCCACCTGCTTTCTCTTCTTCTAGAAGAATTGGAGGCAGAATAGCAAAAGTAAGTAAAACTCACAAACTGCAAACCACAGAAAGCCTTGATGCTGTGCAAGCACTGCTCAGAAAGAGCAACCACAGCTGTGGGTGACCAACACGTCTCTGATCACTTTTAAAATACACAGCACCATAGGGGCTGCTCTGCAGAGAGTAACTCCGTCCCAGCCAGAGCCAGTGCAGGGCCCCTGATGGACAAGAAAGCTCCCTCTGAGCTTAGGAAGGAGCCAGGAAGGTGCTAATAAGCAGCAGGACAATTGAGAGCAAGGGGTTGTGGTGCCCAGGGCACAGAGGCACTCTGCAGGGCTGTGCTGGCCAGTGGGGAGGGCCAGGAGACAGACTTGTGAGAAGGCTGTGAGAAACAAGGAAATGTCTCTGCCATTGCCCCAGGGCTGCAAGAAATCACTCAATGGATTCCTCTGTCAGGGCTGTGTGAGCCCAGGGGACAACACTGAATGGAGCCCACAGAACGTGACCCTGTCCAAGGTGGACTGTCCAGAGCTCAAGTGCTCAATCTGGTGTGAGTGGGCTGAAGAGAGCTCTGCAGCTCCAGGGCACACAGCAGCCCCAGCAGAAGAGTCTGGTGAGTGATTCCTTGCAGCCCTGGGGCAATGGCAATGACCCCATGAGCTGGGTCTGCCTCCCAGCCTGCCCAGCACGGACCTGCAGAGTGCCTCTGTGCCCTGGGCACCACAACCCCTTGCTCTGCACAGCAGCACCGCCAGCTGGGGCTCAGGCTGGGGCTGGGAGAGCACTTCCCCTCAGTTTCTTCTAGGCCAGATTCAGGCACATGGCTTCTGGATGTGAGCGTGATCTTCTCTGTGAGTAAGGAGCTGAGAGACCACCTATAGGACCCTTGTCCTTACCTTTACTCTCTTGATCACCCTGATCCCTGCCCTTAATATTAGCAATAAAATGCTCTGCTTAACTCTACACAATTTCCTGACAGCCTTAAAAAAAACCCTAAACCAAAATACTTGCCCATACCCAATAAAACACAGACCTGACACCACAAGCAGAACAACAAACCCTCCCATTAAACTTTTGCTTAATCTTTAACCCAGAAAGGTGAGCTCTAGTCCCTAATCCCATACATGAACACCTAGCACCCAAAGCCCTCATTCCTGTGCATTAACTTCCTCACCTTCAACCCCTCTCCTGACCCTTAACTTGAGGTGCCTGGCCCCTTGGGTCAGGGCAGGAACCGTGAGGTTGCTGTGCAGTTACATGGCATTCAAAGGTGAATGCAAGGGGCCATGGATCTGATCAGCATACCCAATAAAACACAGACCTGACACCACAAGCAGAACAACAAACCCTCCCACTAAACCTTTGCTTAATCTTTAACCCAGAAAGGTGAGCTCTAGTCCCTAATCCCATACATGAACACCTAGCACCCAAAGCCCTCATTCCTGTGCATTAACTTCCTCACCTTCAACCCCTCTCCCGACCCTTAACTTGAGGTGCCTGGCCCCTTGGGTCAGGGCAGGAACCGTGAGGTTGCTGTGCAGTTACATGGCATTCAAAGGTGAATGGCATTCAAAGGTGAATGTAAGGGGCCATGGATCTGATCAGCTTGTGGGCCCCTTGGGTCAGGGCAGGAACCCTGAGGTTGCTGTGCAGTCACATGGTATTCAAAGGTGAATGTGAGGGGCCATGGATCTGATCAGCTTGTGGGCCACAAGGAGGAGACGGGTGGGAATGCTCTGATCAGCTCAGCTCTGCCTCAGGATCTCCTGCCCCAGCAGGAGAAATGTGACTGTGGCAGTGACTGTGAGGTCACTTCTGTCCCTGCAGATGATAGGGCAGCAGCAGGAATGTGTCATGGAAAGGGACTCTGAGGTCACTTCTGCCTGAAGTAGCTGACATTTCACGCTTGACTTAGATCTTGGATCTGTACTTTTGGGCTGACATCTGCCAGTGCCCCTTCTAGGCCAGCAGAAGGTACCTGGTGGGCATGCTTACTGTGGGATCCCCTCTGCCTACATACCCAGGAGGACCCAGACAGAAAGAAGGCCCCAATATGGGTTGTCCTGTCTCTTCTGCTTGAGTCCATGACTGGACAGCAGGAGGCATAAGGCTTGGTTGTGTCTACACAAGAAGCTGCAAGGCCAGCAGCAGCTTCATTTCTTGGAAAATGCTTGATGAGGTGACTTCTGTCTGGTTGGCTGACATGCTGAAAGAAGGTTGGTGGGTTGGGATACCTACTTTAGGAGGGGATTCCACCCTGATGAGGCTTCCTTTGGTTGTAGGAAAGAGCAGGAGAGAAAAAACTGCCACAAAGTGCACCTTGGAAGGTTGGCACTGGCTACGAGGAGGAAGAAATGTCCCGTAAAATGTCATGCTGTGGTGCCAGATGTCACCCAAAGAGTATCCATGATCAGACCATAGCTTTGTGTTTCAAGGAACAGCTGGTGAGGGTTGACAAGACATTGGTGAAATGATGTAAATGCCGCGATGAAATCAAGGTGGTGAACAGAGATGGGTATCTGCAGACTTCAAGGAAATATGACAAAGTGTGGAACAGCACAGAAAGGCCTGCAGAGGAGAAGGTGGATGGTGGTGGCAAGAATTGAAGGCCCCAACATCCCTGACATTTTTGTCCCTTTGGCTAGAGCTTATGAGGTGTTATGTTATACTTGTTGTGATGGGGCCTCATTGCTTCCTTTCAACCCTGTGCAAAGGCTGGGAGGTGTCTTACCATTGTTCTTCTCATGGCATCACAGTACCCACCACATCCCACAGATCCCCAGGAAAAGCTCTGAGCCAGACATGGGGTACGGGATCTCCCCTTCAGTAGCTGGTGGCAGGCCTTGGCCCTTTTGCTTCATCAAAGCAAACCAAGACTTTTCTCAGCACAGTGCCTTTGCCTATCGGTAATCATGGCCTCCAGTTATCTGCTCTAACAAGTCCCTGGGGAGGCTGTCTTAGTAACAGCCCTCAATGGGGCCCATTAATACTCCAAACCACATCAACTTTTTCTTCTGACTATACTTTCTCAAGCAATTGCATCATTCTCTTCTGAGTACCTGAGCTTCATAGACTCAGCACCAAAATACACCAAGGAACTCATTAAAATGAAGAAACTCCTACCATGTTCTCTACAGTTTTGTTGAAGACTTCAAGACTTGTACAGCTAATTGGAGAGCTTTCCTGTTGTAGTTAAGGAGGAAGATTTCAAAAAGCACCTAATAAAAAATTTCTCATCTTAAAGGATGTGTTTAGTTGAATTTTACTGTGGAGCTTTATTCTCTAATTGATATTGATCCAGGGTGTCTCCTTCGGAGACTTGCATGGGGAGGAAAAGCAGACACTTGAGGTCTGACACAGCATAGACAACCTTGCTCCTCACCACCACAGTCTTGCCATTTCTCCCATTGGCCACTTCTCTTTTCCTTACATTAGTCTTTTGTACCAAAGTCTGCAGCTGGATGTTACGGCTCCTTTGCAACAGCTCCTACCTGCTTTACTAAGAGACTTGGCTGCACACAGGTGCAGA